AAAAAAAAAAGACAAAATGAGATAATGTTTGTAAAATGTTTTGCAAACCTGTGCTATAGAAATGTTAGCTATCATTATTGTTATTATTACTGTTCTTATTATATTAAGGCAGGTCAAAGCAAAAACATTTTGGGGTATGATTTCTTGCAAATGGCAGGCACTTTAAAATATTCGTTGATATACTTTGTATTAAATTACAGTGTAGGGCTAAGATCAGATGGTAGTTGTTTGACACCAAAAATCTAGTCTGTACACCTGCGAGAGAAGAAGGTCCACAGTCAGATCTGCCTAACCAGATTCTAAGGTTTGATCCAGAGTGGGAAGATCCCTGGTCCAGAAACCTGGAAAATGCAGAGGCAGAGCTTCTCTTCTGACATTGCTCCTGTACTAGGGCCCTCAGTAAGCCACGTCATCTCCCTGGGCCTTGGCTTCCTCAGCTGCCCCCTGGCCCACAGGGCTCAACAATGGTCAGGATAGTTGACATTTATGTAATGCTTTAATAATCTCACGCTTCTCCAGCATTTTAAGGTTTCCAAAGTACTTTCCTCTTCACGACCTTATAAGGTAGGTAGTTGTGAGTGTTTTCATCTTGCATTTTGTGGATGAGGTAACTGAGAGTAAGAGTTGCTCATGGTCACTTAGCTGGTCAGTGACAGAAGTGAAATTTGACCCTAATTCTTCTCCTTTGGTAAGTGCATGTTCCACTTTGAAGTCTTTAGACTTAGAAACATTAATTGATTCTCATAGCAAAAATTATAACCTCTCCATATACTTTATTTCCCCTCACTGGATATGAGGGCAGAATGAGATAATTGATGTAAAAATGTTTTGAAAAACTAGAATTCTGTGAATATGACAATAAAAATGTGCATCTGCCTCTAGAAAAAGTAGTTTTCATGTCAGTTTGCCATGGAAATTGGTGGAATCCTGATAAGCTCATTACTTCGGTGGAACCATTCACTTCATGACATTCAGTTTAAGCCTGGTGGGGTGTTTCACTTCTGGAATCCTTGCTGTTGGGGAGGCCACGGTTGATGGATCTATTAAGTTTGGGACTCTTGAGTTGCAGAAGGGCTAAGGCAGAGCAAGTATTTGTCTGTCACCAATATGATGAGCCCCCAGAATCAGAGGACCACCAGGCTGTCTAAGGAGGGGTTAACTTGTTCAGGGCAGAAAAACAGCAAGTATAAGCTTCTGCACTGATCAGTGTAGGGAAAGGGCCCATGAATGGCTGATATACTTCCAAGTATGGGTGAGATAGGGAGACCTAGTCTTCAAAAAACAAAATTTCCAGCTATGTACAAAGCACTGTCTTAGGTACTAAAGGAGATACAAAGTTGACATAAGACAGAGTGCTTACCTTTATGTGAGGTACAGTCTAGTAGAATAATATTAGCTCATTTATTTGGCACACAACGAGGTATATTTGTTCCTTTTAGCTTATATCATTCTTTGGCTTGGTCTGCCCACAAATGACCCATTCAGGCATCTGTCAGGAGTCCAGGTACCTTCCCTAAATGCCTGGACCCCCCTTGCTAAATAACTCTACATGATCCTGATCTTCTCCTGTGTATTATCTCTTCCACACCCACTTAGAATGTCCACCAGCAGATGTGCCACACACCCTCTGCCTCCTCCCTGGTGATGTAGGACATTAGCAAGGAGTTGAGCCCTGAAATAATACTTAGAACATGAAGAACTCATTGTTTTCAGGATTTGGTGACATTTGGGGATGTGTCAGTGGACCTCAGCAAGAAAGAATGGAAGAGTTCAGCAGCTGCTCAGAGATTTTTTCGAGATTTGATGCTGGAGAATTACCGGGATGTGGTATCACTGGGTAATGATTCTGTTGACCCACTTTAAAATCTTTATTTTGGGACTTTGTCTTGCTTCATGCGTGTTGCTAAATAAAGAGTTTTTGTTAATGCTATTAAGAGTTAATAGGAGGGGGCAGCTAGGTGGCGCACAGTGGATAGAGCACAGGCCCTGAAGTCAGGAGGACCTGAGTTCAAATCCAGCCTCAGAGCAAACACTTGACATGTACTAGTTGTGTGACCTTGGGCAAGTCACTTAACCCCGATTGCCTCACCAAAAAAACCAAAAACAAACAAAAAAAGAGTTAATAGGGGAGCAGCGAGGTGGTGCAGTGAATAGAGCTCTGGCCTTGGAGTCAGGAGGACCTGAGTTCAAATTTGGCCTCAGACACTTGATATTTCCTAACTGTGTGATCCTGGGCAAGTCACTTAACCCCTACTGCCTCACTTAAAAAAAAAAAGTTAATAGGAATCAGAAAGTTCTAAACCTCTATTTCTAAGGCTTTTCAGGTCCATAGCAAAGTAATGTCCCAAGAAACTGTTTCTTAAAGCTTTCTGTATTCTTGTTGATCCTTTGGAAGCTTTACTTTATACATAAATGATACAGCATTCTCTACCCTCGTCCCTTCCTAAAGACCTTATTAGGGTACCCTTTCTGAGCTTTTCTAAGCGAAGTATTTGCCCTTAGAATAGTTTGCTATTGATTTTTTTCCTACCTAACTAGGAAGGAGAGAATAAAATAAGCTAATTTTGAATCTGGTTCTGAATCACTGGATTCTGCTTCGAGTCTTCTTGGTTTCCAAGTCCCCTGTCTAAGGGTCATCCACTTCCCTCCTGCTTTCTCTGGGCATTTAATTGCCTTCCCTATATGTTCTTTCCAGATATAGGGATTAAATGGATATCTATAACCCGACTCATTATTCAGTCACATTTTCTTCTCCACAAGTAGGATTTCCCTTTTCGAAACCTACAGGGATCTCCCGGAGAGAGGAAGAACCATGGGGCCTAAATCATCAGGGACCTCTGGACTTGGAAGGTGGCAAAAGCACCTGTACAGGTAAGTGAGGGAGGACTCTCCTATTCTTACTCCTTTATATCTTCAGATTTACTTAGTTATTGAATTTTTTATTTTTCTGGATCAGATGTGCTTTCATTAGCATAAAGAACTCCCAATTAGGAAACTTTCTACTAATCCAAGTTAATACCTTCTTTGCTCAGAGTCTTTGAGAGTTGCCTGTGGCGCTGAGAGATTGTGGTTTGTTCGCTCCCACATGGTCAGTGGGTGTCAGAAGTAAGACTTGGAGCCAGATGTTATTGACTCAGAAACCAGCTGTGTGCATCCACAGTGCTTGGCTGCCTCTTATAAATTTAACCAACCACAAAGACAGATAAATAAATAAGTGTGTGTGTGTGTGTGTGTGTGTGTGTATGTATGTATGTAAAATTAGGCATAAAACTGTTTATGTGCCCCTCTGCACTTGACAAAGTAGATTTGAATTAATTAACAACCAAAAAAATGAGTCTGATGTCTTTTTTTTTTTTTAATTTGGTTAGGCAGTGGGGTTGAATGACTTGCCCAGGGTCACACAGCTAGTAAGTGTTATGTGTCTGAGGCCAGATTTGAGTTCAGGTCCTCCTGAATTCAGGGCCAGGGCTCTATCCACTGCACCACCTAGCTGCCCCCTCTGGTGTCTTTTTGAAAGTCGATCTCAAATTCAGATATTTTTGGTGCAATGTGTGTGCCCATGTGAGACACACACAAATATAATGAGGCATTCAACTAGTAGATAGAGCTGACTTTGGAATTAGAAAAGGGAGCCCTGGGGGCACCTAGGTGGCGCAGTGGATAGAGCACCGGCCCTGAATTCAGGAGGACCTGAGTTCAAATCTGGCCTCAGACCAAACACTTGACACTAGCTGTGTGACCCTGGGCAAGTCACTTAACCCTAATTGCCTTTAAAAAAAAAAAAAGAAAAGGAAGCCCTGGCTCTGGTTGTGCCCAGGGTTAGGGCTGAGTATAAGGCCATCAGGGGTGGAGAGCCTGCCTCAGAGTCACGAGGACCTGAGCACAAGGCACATACTCTTTGGACATATACTGACTGTGGCCTTGTCAAGACTTTTAACCATTCAGTGCCCCATACAGCTCCCTCATACCATAGAAGTTGCAGAATAATTGCTGATCTGTACTGGTAGAGAAAGTTTCTTCACCAAGGAGGTCCCTACCTCAATGAAGTCACAGGTCTGGGCATATACATACATACATACATGTATATATATGCACCAATATCTAAATATCTCTATAGAGAGAGAGGTGGGAATTCAGAACTACTCTAATGATTTTGCTTTTTTTGCTTTGTATCCCTTTATATAGATCTATGTTTCCTTTTCTGCTTCATATGTATCATTTTTATGACACTTTAAGACTGTTATATTAATACACCATAACTTATTCAGCCATTACCCATTTAGTACATTTAAGTTGTTTCCAAGTTTTTACTATTACAAATAAGGAAGTTCTCAATATTTATTTTACAGATAGGTCCTTTCCATGGTATCAATTAGGATAAAGTTCAGTTTTTAATTCATTGGATCAAAAGTCAAGATTAACCTAGATATAACAGTGCCAGAAGGGACCTTTGAGGCCATGCAGTCTAGCCCCTCACTTAGGAGACTGAAGCTCAGAGAAGTTAGTGATTGGCCCACAGTCACCTAAGTAAGAAGTAGAAGGCAGCAGGGCTTGGTGTCCTTGGATTTGGAGTCAGGAGGGACCTTTATTTGAGGCCTTTCTCCAGGGCCATGGGCTGGTCACTTTACCTCTCAGCCTAAATTTTCTTATAAATAATAATAGGCCTAACTCACCAGAGGAATTTGAGGATCAATTGCGTTAACATATGTAAAGCATTTTACAAATCTCTGAGTGCCCCATATATGCCAGCTGTGAAGAGTATTGGTTTCAGGATGACATAAATGGCCAGGCAGCTTGGGGTTGGGCAGAGAACACTGGATTTGAGTTAGAGATCCTGGGTTCAGGACTCAGCTCTATGGCTTTTTGGGCCATTCATCTCACCTCTCTGAGTGCAAGGTTCTTTCTCTGTAAAAGGAAGGGGCTCCCGAAGGTGACTCATGAGGTCCCTTCCAGTTCCTCATTCTCTGATGCTTTGTATTACTGGTGTCTTCCCCTTATGCTGCACCACATGGAATTTTTTATGATTTTTTTTCTGTTTTGTACTCTTAATGGCTATTGTCTTCATTTGTTAAAATGTTGAAAATACATTATTAAGAAATGTCATAGCCCATAATCTTAGAATCTGTCAACTGGGAGACAGTTTCGTCTAGTGGGATGAGTAGCTAACTTGGAGTTAAAAGACCTGAGTTTAATTCCAGCTGTGTTTCTTTCTTTTCTTTTTTAAAATTTATTTATTTATCTTCATTTATCAACAATCACTTCCATAAGCTTTGGAGTTTTAAATTTTTCTCCCCCTCCCTCCCCAAGACAGCACACAATCTGATATAGGCTCTACATATACATTCCCATTAAACATATTTTCATACATTAGTGATGTTGTAAGGAAGAATTAGAACCAATAGGAGGAACCACAAGAAAGAGAACACAAAACGAAACAGAAGAAAAAAAAATAGCAAATAGTATGCTTCGATCTGCATTCAAACTCCATAGTTCTTTCTTTGAATGTGGATAGCATTTTCCGTCATGAGACTTTTAGAGACGTCTTAGATCCTTGCATTGCTGAGAAGGGCTAAGTCTATCAAAGTTAGTCATTGCACAACATGGCTGTCACTGTGGACAATATTCTCCTGGTTCTACTCACTTCACTCAGCATCAGTCCATACAAATCTTTGCTACCATAGAAAGCTACTATAAATATTTTTGTACATGTGGGTCCTTTTCCCATTTTTATGATCTCTTTGGGATACAGTCCTAGAAATGCTATTGCTGGGTCAAAGAGTATGCACATTTTTATAGCCCTTTGGGCATAGTTCCAAGTTGCTCTCCAAATGGTTGGGTTATTTCACAACTCCACCAATAATGCATTAGTGTTCCAGTTTTCCCACATCTTCTCTAACATTTCTCAGAGTTGTTTTGATTTGCATTTCTCTAATCAATAGTGATTTAGAGCATTTTTTCATATAACTATAGATAGCTTTAATTTCTTCATCTGAAAACTGCCTGTTCATATCCTTTGACCATTTATCAATTAGGGAATGACTTGTATTCTTATAAATTTGATTTAGTTCTCTATATGTTTTAGAGATGAGGCCCTTATCAGAGATACTGGTTGTAAAAATTCTTTCCCAGTTTTCTGCTTCCCTCCTAATCTTGGTTACATTGGCTTTGTTTGTGCAAAAACTTTTCAATTTAATATAATCAAAATTATACATTTTGCATTTCATAATGTTCTCTCTCTCTTGTTTGGTCATAAATTCTTATGTTCTCCATAAATCTGACAGGTAATTCCTGTCAGAGGTATTCCTTGCTGTCCTAGTTTGCTTGTAGTATCAACCTTTATATCTAAATCGTGTATCCATTTTGACTTTATTTTGATGTATGGTGTAAGATTTTGGTCTATGCCACTTTCTACCATACTATTTTCCAGTTTTCCCAGCAGTTTTTGTCAAATAGTGAGTTCTTATCCCAGATGCTGGGGTCTTTAGAATTTATCAAAAAGTAGATTACTATGGTCATTGACTACTGTGTCTTATGTACCTAACCTATTCCACTGATCCACCACTCTATTTCTTAGCCAGTACCAAGTAGTTTTGATGATTCCAGCTGCGTTTCTTAGGCAGGCTATTCTCCCTAGGCCTCAGGCTGCCCACCTGTAAAATGAAGGTAGAGGATTATGATTTCTAAGGTCTCTTCTGCCTCTAAATCCTATGGTCTTTTTTTGATTTACAAGTCCCTTTTATATTTCCCAAATAGCCTCTCTTTGAATATCCCTAGTGAAGGGAATTTCAGTACCTCTTTAAGGCAGATCATTCCATACAGCCCTCATTTTTAGAATTTAAAATGCGTGGAAAACTGCCTCCTTAACTTCTCTGAACTGGATTTTTGTTCTCTCTTTGGAGTCAAGTAGTTCTTCCAGTAGTTGAAGAAATGTATCATGTTCCTCTCAAGTCTTATCTCTTCCAAGCTAAACATTGTTCCTTCAGTTGTGCCTGATTATGATATGGAAAGGAGTACCCAAACCTAACTGTTCCTCCTTTGGAAAACTCTAGTTAAAACCCTGCCTTGGTACAAAGGAAAGGAGTTAAGTAAAACCAACCAAGGGAGTGCCTGTGTCTGATAGTTGATGCAGTATTTCACACCCTTGGTCCATTAGCTCTCTACTAAGAGAAGGGAGGTGTATGTCATCCATCATCTTTCCTGTGGAAACAGTCTTGGTACTGCCTTTAATCTGAGTTCAGCTGCTTTTTAATGGTTTTACTTACTTTATTGTAAACGTTTACTGCATATTATTCTCCTGGTTCTGCTTTCTTCATTGTCCATCAGTTCCTATAGGTTTGAAAAAGTCCTTGTATTTGTCTTTTTCCCTCTGTGGTACAGTAATATGACATTACATGCATATGCCACAATTTGTTCAGCCATTCTCGAATTGCTGGACACTGACTCCTTCCACCCCTACCTAAATGTTGTGCTTTCACAGAAAATGCTACCATAATATTGGGAAAGTGTGGGCTCTTTCTTTTTGTCTTTAATCTCCTTGGGGGTATGTGCAGGATAGTGGGAATGCTGCGTCAGAGGATTGTGACTGGTTTTGGGACTTTTATCCTGTAATTCCAAGTTGTTGTACAGAACTGTTGGAGCAGTTTAGTATATCTGGATATTTTTATCCTTTTTGCTATTTGATGGGTATAAGGTGAAGCCTCAGAGTGGTTTTCATTTGCATTTTTCTAGTAGTGATTTATAGCATTTTAAAAATACAGTTGTGGATAGTTTATAGTTTTCCTTTGAAATGATTTTTTCAAATCCCTTAACCACTTATTTTTGGGGCAGTGGCTCTTAGTCATATATTTGCATCAATTCCCAATATATCTAGAATATCAGACTTTTATTAGAGGTCTTAGGATCATAGATCTATAACAGAAAGGACTTCAGAGGTCAATAAAACCTCATTTTGCAGATGAGGGAACTTGAGAGATTAAGTGATTTGCCCAAGGTCATTCAGATGGGAATTGAGCCAAAATTTAAATCCATGTGCTCTGATTCCACATCTACAATTTTGGTGCTTCATGTAATACACACCAAAGCTGAGGATTGAACCCAGGATTTCTGACTCACAGCACATCAGCAGCAGGGTCCCTGTCTTGCCCATGGGATCAGGTAGCTCTCTTTCAGTCAGAAGATGACATTTCTGTGTACTTTTTCCTATGGGACAGAACTGGGCACTAAGCCCAGGGCTGAGCACATTGTGGGCCCTGAATAAATTCACTCAAACACTTACTGAGCAAGTCAGTGGCATAGTGAATAGACCTCTGGCCTGGAGTCAGGATGACTTGAATTCCAGTCTGGCCTCAGACACCTGCTAGCTGCGTCGCTTTGGGTAAGTCGCTTAACCTTTCTTTGCCTCAATTTCCTCATCTGTAGAAATGGGGATAAAAATAGGACCCATCTCCCAGGTGAGAGGTAGATATGAGAGTCAAATGAGATAATGTTTGTAAAATGCTTAAAGTAGTGCCTAGTACATAGTAGGCACTATATCATTGCTACATATTATTATTATTATTGTCACTATTATAGCAATCATCATTATGTGAGCAAGATATTTGATGGAAGTATCCACACACCTCCTACCCCTGCATTGACCATTTTTCCTTATTATTCTAGTCTAGTTGCATTGATTTTGCTTGTGGACCAAGTTTTTGATCCTAGTGCTTTTCCCTTTCATCACGCTATCTCCCTCTAACCCCTGCAGTTTCCTCTGTCTACACCTGTGGCTGGCATTTCTATCCATTTGTGAACAAACTGCAGCCCTATTTTGCATTGTTTCTGCTGGGTCATCTCATTCCCTGCTCACATTATCGATATAAATCCTCTTTTCAGATCTATGGAATCCATGAGTTCCTAGAGCACTTTAATATTATATGATATGATCTGTTCCTATTGCCAGAATGTAAATGGTGACACAGTTGCATTTTCTATTTTTCAGAAGGTGATAATGTTACTGAGAATGAGGAGTCCACTTTAAAGCAAGAAATTTTTGTTGAATCAGAAGCACATAGTAGTTCATCAGAAGGTCTCCAGAAGGATCTTTTCCAGGCATCTAAAGCTGGAGAAGCCTGTGAAAGGGAAAGCATGTTAGAGCAGCAACAAGGAGCACTCCCAGAGGAAGAAGTTAGGAGAATTGATGGTGATTTTATGGAAGTGATAGTGCAGAATAAGAAAAGCCCTGTTGAAGAGAGAGATGAGAAATGTAAAGACTTCTGGAAAAGTTTTAGTCTTGTCTCAAACACTGTTACACAGGAGAAAATTCCAAGGGGACAGAAGTCTTATCAGTGTAATGAATGTGGCAAATACTTCAATAGGAGCTCACACCTTATTGACCATGAAAGAATTCACACTGGAGAAAAACCTTTTGCATGTAGCGAGTGTGGCAAGGCATTTAGCCTGAGCAAGAGCCTTATTCGACATCAGAGACTTCATACTGGAGAGAGACCTTATAAATGCAATGATTGTGGAAAATCCTTCAATCAGAACTCACACCTTATTATTCATCAGAGAGTTCATACTGGAGAGAAACCCTATGAATGTAATGAATGTGGGAAGGTCTTCAGTTATAGCTCAAGTCTTTTGGTACATAAGAGAACCCACACTGGGGAGAAGCCTTATGAATGTCATGATTGTGGAAAAGCTTTTAGTAAAAGCTCAAAACTAATTGTCCATCAGAGAATCCACACTGGGGAGAAACCCTATGAATGTAAGGAATGTGGGAAAGCCTTCAGTCAGCGTTCAACTTTTAACTATCATCAGAGAATTCACTCTGGAGAGAAACACTCACCTTTGATCCACTCAGTCTTTTAGATTGTGGAGCTCATGATGGAGAATAGAAGATTTCAATTTTATAAGAAAAAAACTTGTTTTCAGATGAAAACTCTAATCCTATTTCATCCAAAATCCTAAAAATGTTTGCTTTAGTTTCGCTGAGAGATCAGGTGTGGATGGTATGGTCACACTAGTGGAAAATGGACAACGCATTAGCTTTATCACTCTTGGCTTGTTTTGTAAATATCTCAAATCCATTCTTTGTTTCTGTTTTATCTCCCCAAGCACATTTTAAGCTCTGCAAGGCAAATCTCCATTTCCTTTCTCCTACCAGTGAGTCTTCAATATTTTTAAGAGTGTGCTTTATTTTTGTGTCACTACATTAAAGATCTGTGATTTTGTCTGATGCCGACAGATTGCAACTTACCTGAAATTTAACAGATATCTTAGAGAATTTTGTGATGATCAGAGATTAAGTGACTTGTCCAAGAACATACAGTATCAAGAGGCAGGATTTGAACTAGCTTTTCCTGACCCTAAGTCCAGCACTGTCCACTACCATGCTTGTCATTTGACCCAACAAATGTTGATAATTTGTCATGTAATTAATTATATTTTTTACCCCAAATGGAGTGTGGGTTCTTTGATAGCAGGTAGTACCACTCTCCAATCATATTTATACAATGATTGACAATAAAGGTCCTTAATAAACATTTTAATATTCATATATAACTAATAGTGTGATTATCCAACGGTGGGCTCCACATTTGCATTAGACTGGGAACTTTCTGAGGGTGAATGATGTTTCTTCCTTTCTTTCCCAGGATATGTTTTCGTATGGAATGGTCACAAGGGATAGACTGACCTTTATGGTAAAGAAGCTTACCTTATTTTTATTGTTGTTATTTTAAAAAATTTATTTACATATTTTTGTTACCTTTATTGTCCTTACCTTATTTTCTGGAGCACTTTGTATATTCTGTATCTTTGTTCATCTTTGTAACCTCAGGCACTTAATGATAGTTGAATTGATTAGATAAAACGTGGGCCCTCTTTTCATGGAGCTTATAGATTTATAGAGGGATAAGAGATCTATACAGAACTAAATAACCAATACTCCATGAATAGTGCTCTAGAGAATGGGAGAGAATTGTTTTAGCCAGAGGAGTCAGACTGACCAGCCAGGCCTGCGAAATTCCCAAGTGCCTTAGAACCAAATTAAAATATATTTGGGAAGGGTTTAAGACGATAAATAAAAATATACCCTAATGGTAACAAGTGGCCTTCTAAGTGAATATGTGGCTCACAGACGGGGATCCAGTTCCATTTCACTTTGACACCACTGCTTTAGATAGTAGCAAAGTCAATTAAATTTACCTTTACAGGTAATTAAGCTTAAAGATCTTTATCTTGTGGATAACTAGTATTTTTCAGATATTCTGTCTTCTGTTTTTGTCAATGACTCCTGTTACAAGCTAAGCAGATGCTGATCCTGGTTTTACTTTCTCCTCTTCTTCATTATTCTGTATTTCTTCACATAGATTTTCTTCTCGCTCAGGGAAATAGGTGGTATTTTTCTGCTGTTCCCATGGCAATATTTTCTGCTCATGTGGTTCTGTGGGCTTGTCTGTCTGCCTAGTTGGATACAGATAACATTTATGAACAGATCAAGTTAGAGCAGAGGCAAAACCCTTTGTCTTCATCATTTCTGTGCAGTTGTTCCCACTCTGAAAGGCTTAAGGAGAACAGTTATTTTGCATATTGAGACTTTATATTGCCAATGTGAGAATTTGTTGTGCTTGACTTATACCTGTTTGTATTGGGATCTATTTTTCTTGCTTTCTCGATGTAGGGAGAGGGGGAAGGTGAGGAGAGAATATGTTGTTTCATAACCACTGCTGAGTGCTTTTAGTTTCTGCCTTACTGTGATGGCTGAGAGTATGGATGGACAGATATCAGACAGGTCTGGACTCAATAGAACATAAGAGCGAAGCTTTCACCAAATGGTGGTACCCCTTGATTGGCAGTCATACCACTTTTTATCCATGGCATTTGTTGCCAAAATAGAATACACACTAAAACCTTCTCTTTCTTAAAGTTTATTTCATTTTACCCTAGAAAGCAAAACAAAGCAGTGGGTAAATGTTGCAAAGTGTCATATTTTGGATCAGAATTGATGTCAGGAAAAGCTTCCTAACAAAGTTATCCTAAAGTGTAATTAGGAGGAGGTTCTCCCCTTTTGGAGATATTCAAATGGAGACTGGAAACCCATTTGTTGAGTATGTTGTAGTAGTTCATTTGCAACGAAATCAAAAGGTTGTTTTTGTCCTACCTTTCTCCCTCTATCCTAACTGCCCCCCCCCCCCCCCGTGGCTTTATCTAAGGTACATCATCATGGTTAGTGACCCATATTTTCTGAACCTAAAATCGTATCTGTCACCTGTCTCTGCAATAAATGTGGGAGTCACATTAGCTCAATATTTTTGGAATCATTGCCACCTCCAGGCATCAACATACATATCTCTGGATGTAGAGACTAGTACACCCACATTTTTGTGAGGAATTTGTTGTCCAGTCTGTGACTCTACTTACTTTGTGACTCTATCTTAATGTCTGACTTGAATCAGAACTCAGAAAAAACCAGTATCAATGCCTGCTAGGTCCATTTACCTGTATACTTCTACATAAGGTATTTCATTTGTAGAATGGTACAGGCTCACTCCCACATGGATACAAAATGGCGCCCAGTCCTCCTGCAGCAGTAGTAAGGGCCCCAAAAGGGAGCAGAAGGTCATACAACAGATTCTTGGGAGTTGCTGCTCTTTAACCCATTACTCCTGATCCTGCCTTTCTGGGGAACGTTCTCTACATGGTAGCTCTACTAACTGTTTGAAGACTGCTAGTGTCAAAGGCTTATAGATTTTGAGTTCCACATTACCCCCCAAGCCCCTTTTATTTTTACCAGTTTATCTTGCTTCTCATTGAATGACATCATCGTTAAGACTCAATTGCAACAAACCTAATCCCAGAATATATTTGGGTCCCAGAAACGCATTTATCCAGCTGTCTGAATTTGGGTTAGGGACAGCTAGATGGCATAGTGGACAGAGCTCAACCACTATTATCCCTGTAAAGTCCATTTTAGGGGAATAAGATCTGGCTTAGGAAACAGCAAAACACTCCAGTAACCAGTAACTTAAGGCAGAACTCAACAGATGTAACAAATCTCACCTAAGAAACGAAAAGCATATGGTTCAGTATATCTTCCTCCCTTTTAATATATGAGAATGGCTAAGCCAATTACTTCAAATTAGTTGTTTTCCACATGGTTTGTCTCCAGTCGTTGTACAAAGACTGTTGACAGTGCTCAGCTTACCAACACCATGGAATAGGATTCTGTTACAGGTCAGACCCTACAGTCCCTACACAACTAGGAGAATCGTCTACCCAGGGTATCAAAATGTGTTGTTGATGTTAAAAGGTGGTATCGATGACAGTGTCAAACTAACACATAGTCTGATACACAGGGTATGCAGGATAGATAAAACCACCTAATAATGTGAAACAACTCCAAGTCTTCAAATTGCTACCATATCTCCATCAGAAGTGCTTTTATAGACTTCTATACTATGTTCATAACTTTTTAGGTCCTGACAGAAGCCCATACAAGGGTAAGATGGAAAGAATATGTCATCTTCTGCAAACTCACAAGTGGAAAGCTCCGAAACCAACAACCTCTTAAAAGAGTTAACATTTGTGAATCTGCGAGAGAAAAAATGCCTGTTACCACACCTGAAGTGGTTCCTAAACTTGCTTCTGGAAGTGAAAACTAAAGAGCAAGAGGAAAATCAATAAACTAACAAAAAATAAAGGTGAAAAAGTGGTCTGGAGACATTAGACATTATTACTGCCCAGTAAAAGTATTGTTTCCTGTATGGCTTGTCTCCTAGAGGTTTAGAATGAACAGATGCAGAGAGAAAGTCTGGTTTGCTCTCCAGCATTATGGAATGGGTCTGTGTCACAGGGCAGAGCCCTATGCTCCCTCGGACCACTCAGACAGAACCGGCAGAGTCAACTACCCGAGCATCTACTTGAGTGATACCGTGATCTGACGAAAGGTACGGACAGTGTGGACTGGCCTGAGTGCTGGCCTGGCGTCGGGAAGACCCTCTGGTTTCTACATTACCTCTAAGATCAAATCCCCCAACTTCACTTTAAAGCCTTTCCCAAACCAGCTCCAAATCCTTCCTTTTTCACATCTCCACTCCACTGTTCATTCCATCTCCCTGCTCCTTTGCACAGGTTGCTTCCTCATGCCTGAAAAAAACCAAGTTCTCAGATTCCACGTTAAGAATCCCAGAACTGGACGCACTCCTAAAGTGCCTGGCACACCGCAAGGGCTAAATAAATGCTTGTTCCTTTTCCCCTGCCTTCTCTTCCCCCTCCAGCTCTAAACCTTCCACGTATGCCTAGTATTTAAAGGTGAAGTAAGCCCCTGCAGGGCAGTTAAGTTTCCTCCTAGCCACTGTATTCCCCTCCCCGCCCTTCCCTCCGCCCCGTGCCCCCGACTCTGCAGAGTCCTGCACACTGTGAGTGCTTAATAAATACAGGCTTGTTATAGTTTAGTCACAGACTGCTACAGGGTCAGGTTACCGAAGGGCGTTGGCGCCCTCTGGTGGCAGCCTGGGTGCGCCGAGGCCGGAGGAGGCCGTTTAGGATGGTCCAGGTCTGGCAAGCGAGACCGCTCCTCGACCTGTTGCTGCGCATGCGCTCGGCCTGGTATTCACTTAAACCAAGTTCACCTGGAAGGAGGAAAAACATATGAGAGGGTGGAAGCAGGGCATGCTGGGAAGCGAGGATGCGAAGGCAACGTGGTTGTTCAGCCTTAGCTAAAATATAGCTGTAGGCTAATTTCGTGGAGAAACTTGTACTACGAACCTAAACATTCCTATCTCTACGGGGTGGGGAGAGGGGGAGAACGGAAGGGGGACCTCGGAAAACAGCGGCTTCGCGCAAGTGCACATCTTGGCAGAGAGGGGAGGGGCGGCTTCTGCCCAGGTGCGCATCTTGGCCCAGAAGGGAGGGTGGCTTCTGCGCAGGTGCACATCTTCGGACCTCGCTGTTGGCTTCTAACGCAGGTGTGGAGTTACAGGTTATGGATGTCTGGGTGTTGGGAGATTTTACTGTTGAAAACCCACCTGCCTGAGAGCTAGAGTGGTCCAAGTAAGTGTCGGGGCTGTGTTCCCTGTTAACAGACGTGGCATTGAATTGAGGGAAACGAAGTTATTCGTTCCTTCAGTCTGGTATCAGTCTGTACCAGAGCACTGATCTTCAGTTCAATTCAGTAAGCATTTATTAAGTGCCTACTGTGTGCCGCTCACTGTGCTGATCTCTGGGAATGTGAAGAGAAAAATGAGAACAGCTGTCCTCAAGGAGCCCATTCAGAGTAGTCTTAAGCTTTGGCGCAGGACAGAGATGCCCTTCTTATTTACAGAGGAAGAAGAGAGAACAAGGTCTTGACTCTGAGACACACAGGGAGTGAGCATTGGGGCAAAGATGTTCAGACCCAGGACCCCCTGACCCCCAACTTCAGTGCTCCACCGACGGGGAGGAGCTGCATCCACTGACCAGTCAGAGTGAAGAAGCGGCAAACCTGGGTCGCACAGACCCTGGAGCCTTGTCCATGGTCCCTTCTGGACCAGAGGACTGAATGCTGCCCTGTCTTCCCTTCAGAGACACAGGAGGAGCAGGCAGAAGTGACTTAGTCCTGGCATCCCAACCTTTTCAAACCCCTCCCCCCCCGAATTACCTTCCATCTACTCTATTTATCTTAGGTAGTTATTTACATATTGTCAGATCAGGACCATTCTTCCTGAAAGTGAGCTCCTTGAGAAGCAGAGACTATTTTTGGTTTTTGTTGTTTTTTAATCCCTAGCATTTAGTACAATTCCTGTTTCATATTAAGTGTTTAGTGAATGCTTGTTGATTGTGATAGATTGGCTAACAGCTTTTTTATTCATCTGTCACCTACTGCTATGTCCAAGACTAACAATATCCCACCACCTGTTTCTCTTCCTTTTATTAATCAATTACTGTGGTGGAGTAGGAGCCAATTATCCCCACTCCCTGTCTTCACTCCTTAACCATAATCACAGTTGTCTTCACATCCTCTTCCCTAACTTTTGAGAGTTCACCAAGGCTCTGTCAGAGTGGCTGTCTCTTTTCTCTCTACACTCTCTCTTTTGATAACCTCATCAGCTCCTATGGGCTTAATTATCATCTCTATGCAACTGAATCACAAATTTGTATATCCACCCCTTCTGTCACCTGACATTTAGTCCCTCATCACCAATTTCCTATTGGAATTTCCAACTTTACATGTCCAAAACAGAGTTCATTATCTTTCCTCCAAAAGCCACCTTGGTTATAAACAGAGGCTTTGCTACATATAGGGATACAAATGCAAGCCAACAAGGTATTTCCTTCCCTCAAGGAATTTAGATTCTAACTGGAGAAGACAACACAAAACTACATATCCAGTCAGTTGCCAGCTCTTGCTGTTTCTATCTCTACAAAACCTCTGGCATCTGATAGTTTCTCTCTACTCGGTATCTCCTCACTCTAGTCCACCAATAGTGGCAAAGTGAATTTTTAAAAGCACAGATCCAACTGTGTGTTCTCCACTCAATTCCCCCCACCCTACAGCAGTCATGCAACTCCAATGGCTTCCTATTATCTCTAGGATAAAATATAAATTCCTGATAACTTTTAAAGCCTTTCATAACTTGGCCCCAAATTATATCTCTAATTTCATCGTACATTACTTCTGCCACCCCTAATCCTGTCCAGTTTGTCTCTGTTCCTCACAAAAAAGGCACACCATCTACCCTTTCCCTGCTTTTACACTGGTCATTTCCATGCTTAAAATGTACTTCTTCCTCATTTCTGCCTTATATAATCCTTCTCTTCTTTCAAGATACAGCTCAAGCCTCATCTTTTGCATGAAACCTTTCTTTATCCCTCTAACTGATATTGTCTGATCTTTAAAATTTGTTTTATTTATTTTGTACTTAATTCTCCATATATATACATATGTACCTTGTATACTTTATTCTGTGTGTGTGTGCATGTGTATATGTATATACATACCTGCACACACCCATGTCTCCCCCATTCTTTATAGACTCCAAACACCTAGCAGAGTGTCTGGCACACTGTAGTCAGTCGGCTATCATTTATTAAGCATTTAGCACGTGCCAGACACTATTCTGAACTCTAGGGATACAAAAAAAAAGAGCAAAACTACCGTCCCTGAATTCAAGGAGGTCACCTTCTAATGGAATGTAGGTAGTAGGTTCTTAAGCTGATTGACTGATTTATATAAGAGCCTTGTACTTTCTTCAGTTCAATTTAAAAATCATTTATCTAGGGCTTTGAATTATAAGCAAAGCAAAAGGGATTGTTAACCAAAGGTCATGTCTCCATAAGACATGGGTAGTAACTTGATTTATTACAAGAGAAAGGCATATGCATGTGGGAATTATTTATACCAAGGAGCCAGCCCTACTGACTGAGCCTTGGATATTTATGGGGTACAACAGAAAGGGGGGAGGCCTCATGGGAGGAGTGGAGGACAATCCCCTAACTAAAGGGAGTGACGTGGGAGGAGGAAGGAAAGGGGAAGGAGAGGTATCAGAAGGGCTAGTGTGTGTCAGAGGCAGGACTTGAACCCAGTCCTTCCACTGTTATTGTTGCTCCTTTGTTTTTGAAGAGGTCTAATGATATCTTGACTTTCCATTGAATTGGATTTAAGTGAGGCAAGGCTGGGCAAAGTCATCACCTTCACTCTCTCTTCTGGAGTCATCGAAGTCCGATAGCAAAACGTAAGTCAAGACTATTGGCCCTGGCCCAGGATACACTGGGAAACTTAGCCTTTTTTTTTTTTTTTTTGCTTAGGTGATTGGGGTAAAGTGACTTGCCCAGGGTCACACAGCCAGTAAGTGTTAAGTGTCTGAGGCTGGATTTGAACTCAGGTCCTCCTAACTCCAAGGCCAGAGCTGTAATTACTGTGCCACCTAGCTGCATCAAAACTTGGCCTTTTTAAGCTAAGGTCTTTTCTAGGTGTCAGTTTGTCTGAGGCAACACCTATTCTGTGATTAAAGGCTACGTGAGAATTAAAAGAATTGTGACTTAGTTTGCCATCACAATAGAATCAGTCTGGGAGAGGAAGACCCTCAGAGTGTTGGGCCAGAACAGAAAACAATTTCTATTTCCACTCACTTTGAATAATCAAAATCCAAACAATGAGCAAGAGAGGCATTGTCTGGGGACTATTCTTGGCCAAAAATAAGTAAATAATAAAGCTACTGTGATTTCTGTTTAAAGGCATAGTCTAGTAACTTCATTTGAATCACAATGGGCTTTTTCAAAGCCTGTTTTTTTTTTGAGCTATATTTCAAGATATCATAAATTGAAATCACAGTAGACAAAAACGTAAGTGTTCCAGCTTTTTGATAAAAATAATGATAAATAAATGAGGAGGGGAAATCTAGCCCCCAAACCCAAAGATATCTTGTGAAGTATGAAGGCATCAAAAATGATAATCATTTGGACAGAGCACCCACATGTAAGGGTATGACTCCCTATGTGGACAGAGGGAAAGAAGCAGGAGGAGAAGGAGGAGTAGTTCTTCTGTTATACCTCTTAGTAGGATGCACTGGGCACAAGATCTGGAGTCTTAATGATGATCTATAAAGGAGTGCTTGAGGCAGACAGAGCAAGCAGCATGCAGGATGTGAGATATGAGATAAGATGTAGGACAAGACTATCCAGAAAAGTGATCAAAGAAGACTATGCATTGAAGCCCACTACTGTGGACTTATCTGTGTGTTTTCACAACGCATCCCCAGTACTTGACATTCTAGAACAACTCTTCTTGTCCCTTTTCCTGTTCCATTTGCTTATCTGTATAGACTCCTGAGCAGCACTCCTTTTCCCCTTCCTGTTCTTGCTTATCTGTATGACAAAGGCACCTCCAGACTACCTGATATTCCAGGCATTCTAGAGCTATGCTTGTCCCTCCTCCCATTCTCTTGTTCCCCTTTCCCCTATTCTGTAAAATTGTATTTAAGACCAAGCAGATAACCTGCACAATTGTTCTTTCTCCCTTAGGGGAGCAAGGCCCCCCGCTGTGAGGGATTGTCTGGTGTTGGCTACGTGCCACGTGGGGGTTGTGGCAAGATGGGGCAGGGACAAGATATTAAGAAGTAACCGGAGCTTACGCTCCCGAGGCAGGGGGCTGTGCCATGTGGAGTTGTGGAACTGGGATAGGAACTGGATACGGGGAAGTAACTGGAGTTCATGCTCCTGAGTCAGGGGGCTGTACCATGCGGAGTTGTGGTGAACTGGGTTGGGAACTGGATATGGAGAAGTAACCAGAGCTCACGCTCCTGAGGCAGTGGGCAGTGCTATGTGGAGCTGTGATAAGCTGGGGAAGGAACAGAATACAAGGAAGTAGCCGGAGCACGTGCTCCTGAGGCAGGGGGCTGTGCCACGTGGGAGCGGGACGGCAGAGAACGAGTTCCTTTGTCTAGTCCTCTTCCC